GAGTAGCTGGGACTACATGCACCCGCCACCATGCCCAGCTAATTTTCTTATTTTTTGTAAGACGGAGGTCTCTCCATGTTGCCCAGGCTGGTCTTGAACTCTTTAACTCAAATGGTCTTCCCAACTCCGCCTTCCAAAGTCCTGGGATTAGAGGCACATAAGCTGCCATGCCTGGCCCTTCTTTTCAAATATATATTTGACTTCCTTTCAGATGTATTTTTGTCAGAACGCTTTTTAAAAATAGCCTGTGAGTTTTGCTGACTTTTGAAAAGATCCACCTTCCTCACCTCTGCTGAGCATCAGGATATTCTATCTTCCCTGAGTGTAACAGATTTCTTCACCCTTGCTTACAAGGCAAATCCCAAAGTGGGTTTTGGACATACTCAGTTATAGAAGAAAGCCTATAGTTGTGATATGTTAAGAAGTGCGATTTAGTGGTTATTATTGATTCTATGGGTTGGTTTAGGTCAGCTGAACGGTTGTTCTATCTCACTTGGCATTGGCTGGGATTGCTCATTTGGGGCAAGAATTTAAAAGATGACTTTATTCATATTTGGAGCCTCATGGGAGCTGCTCTCTCCAGCTAGATGGTCAGACTTCCTACCTGGTACCTCAAGGCTTCAGGAGGATGAATGCAAAAAAGCTACCCTGTCTCTTAAGGGCTTGGCCTGAATTGGCGCAGTGTTTCTTCTGTCACATTCTAGTGGTTTAAGCAGGTCACAGGCCAGCTCAAGTTCAAGGAGAGGGGAAGCAACTTCCCTTCTCAATGGGAGAAGAGACATGTACACACAGGATGGGAGGAATTGCTGGCCGTCATCCTTGCCTATAAGCTACCACCAAAAGAAAAGTGTGGGGTGCACATTTTTGCTTTGAAAATGTAAGTGAGGTTATTCACCTTTTAAGATGAACAAAATGCCATTTAAGAAACAAAACTCACCTTAGGAACTGTACGGGTAAAGCATTTAGAAATCATATGTAAGCCGGGCGTGGTGGCTCAAGCCTGTAATCCTAGCACTTTGGGAGGCTGAGGCGGGTGGATCACGAGGTCAAGAGATCGAGACCATCCTGGTCAACATGGTGAAACCCCGTCTCTACTAAAAAATACAAAAAATTAGCTGGGCATGGTGGCGCGTGCCTGTAATCCCAGCTACTCAGGAGGCTGAGGCAGGAGAATTGCCTGAACCCAGGAGGCGGAGGATGCGGTGAGCCGAGATCGTGCCATTGCACTCCAGCCTGGGTAACAAGAGCGAAACTCCATCTCACAAAAAAAAAAAAAAAAAAAAAAAAAAAAAAGAGAAATCATATGTAAAGAATTTTATAGTTGAGAGGAAAGAAGTTGTTAGTGAATGGACATCTGAATTGAGGAGGGATGTGAAGGGGAGGCATACAGTCTATGAAAGAAGGGTTTAGCAATGCTGTTTCTCTTGAAACAGAGAGAAGGAGCCGAGTAAGTGTTCCTCACCTGAACCCCAACTAAGAGAATGGAATTCAAGGTCTGGCAAATATTGTTCTTGGTTTGTTGGTATAGAAACCACAGAGAGGGGAGTGTTCCCTGACTCACCCCTCCAGCATGGGAGAAGCAACAAAAATAGAAGGAGAATGGGGGTCCAAGAAGCTCCATGTATGTTTTTTTTTCTTGAGACGGAGTCTCGCTCTGTCACCAGGCTGGAGTGCAGTGGCGCAATCTCAGTTCACTGCAATCTCTGCCTCTCGGGTTCAAGTGATTCTTCTGACTCAGCCTCCTGAGTAGCTGATTCTTCTGACTCAGCCTCCTGGGTGTATAGTTGCATGCCACCGCACCCAGCTAATTTTCGTATTTTTAGTATAAACGGGTTTTCACCATGATAGCCAGGCTAGTCTCAAACTCCTGACGTCAAATGATCCGCCTGCCTCAGCCTTCCAAAGTCCTGGGATTACAGATGTGAGCTACCGCACCTGGCCAACAACCAAGTCTTAAAGGATTGAGAGGTGGGACAGGTAAAGGGTTGAGTATTAAGTTTATTCATGTTATTGTGCTACCACCACCACTGTTCATCTCTAGAACTTTTTCATAATTCTAAACTGAAACTCTACAGCCATTAACACTGATTTCCCATTTCTCCCTCCCTGCAGCACCTGTTAACCATGATTCTGTTTTCTGTGTCTATGAATTTGACTATTTCAGATACCTCATATAAATGAGAAATCATACATGTGACCTATTGTGACTGGCTTACTTCATTCAGCATTATGCCCTCAAAATTCATCCATGTTATAACATGTATCAGAATTTCATTCCTTTTAAAGCTGAATAGTATTCTATTGTGTGTATATGCCACAATTTTTTTTTTTTTTGAGACAGAGTCCTGCTCTGTCGCCCAGGCTGGGGTGCAGTGGCGCAATCTCAGCTCACTGCAACCTCCATCTCTGAGGTTCAAGCGAGTCTCCTGCCTCAGTCTCCCAAATAGCTGGGATTACAGGTGCCTGTCAGTATGCCCAGCTAATTTTTGTATTTTTAGTAGGCACGGGGTTTTGCCACATTGGCCAGGCTGGTCTCGAACTCCTGACCTCAGGTAATACACCCACCTTGGCCTTTCAGAGTGTTGGGATTACAGGTGTGAGCCACTGCCTCCACCACCACATTTTATCTATCCATCCTTCAACGGACATTTGGGTTTTTTCACCTTTTGGTTATTTTGAATAATTCAGCCATAAGCAAGGGTGTACAAATATCTGTTTGAGTCCCTGCTTGCAATTCTTTGTGTATATACCCAGAAATGGAATTATTCCATCATATGGTAATTCTTTTTTTTTTTTTTTGAGACGGAGTTTCACTCTTGTTACCCAGGCTGGAGTGCAATGGCGCGATCTCGGCTCACCGCAACCTCCGCCTCCTGGGTTCAGGCAATTCTCCTGCCTCAGCCTCCTGAGTAGCTGGGATTACAGGCACGCACCACCATGCCCAGCTATTTTTTTTTGTATTTTTAGTAGAGACGGGGTTTCACCATGTTGACCAGGATGGTCTCGATCTCTTGACCTTGTGATCCACCCGCCTCGGCCTCCCAAAGTGCTGGGATTACAGGCTTGAGCCACCGCGCCCAGCCCATATGGTAATTCTTTACTTAATTTTTTGAGCAACTGCCATACTGTTTTCCACAGTGACTGTACCATTTTACATTCCAACCAACAATGCACAAGGGTTCTAGTTTCTCGATATTCTCGCCAGTACTTTTTTTTTCTTTTTAAAGTAATAGCCCCTCAATTAGGTGTGAGATGGTATCACATTGTGGTTTTGATTTGCACTTCCCTAATGATTAGTGATGATAATTTTTTCATGTGCTTATTGGTCATTTGTATATCTTCTTTTGAGAAATATCTTGAAATCATTTGCCTGTTTCAAAATTGGGTTTGTTGTTGTTGCTGTGTTGTAGGAGTTCTTTATATATTCTGGATATCAGTCCATTAATACATTATGTGATTTGCAAATATTTTCTTACCATGGAATATGTTAGTTATAGGATTTTCACATATGGCTTTTATTATGTTGAGGTAGTTTACTTATTTTCCTCATTTCTTGAGTGGTTTTATCATGAAAGGGTGTTAGATTTTTGTCAAGTGCTTTTTCTGCATCAGTTGAGATGATCATGTGGTTTTTTTTAACCTTTATTCTGCTAATGTGATGTATTATATTGGTGGCTTTTTGTGTATTAAACCATCTTTGCATTCCAGGAATAAGTTCCACTTGGTCATGGTGTGTAATCCTTTTAATATGCTACTGAATTTGGTTTCCTAATACTTTGTTGAAGACTTTTGCATTCAATATTCATAAAGGATATTTGTCTGTAGCTTTCTTTTCTTTTAGTGGCTTTGGCATCAGGGTAATGCCAGCTTCATAGAATGACTAGTAAGTGTTCCCTCTTCAATTTTTTGAAAGATTTGAGAAACATTGGTGTTAGTTCTTTGTTAAATGTTTGGTAGAATTTCACAGTGAAGCCTTGGGCTAAGGGCTAGAGAGAAGGATTTCATAAGAAGGAAGTAGACCAATTGTTCATGGTCTGTGAATGAAGCAATAAAAGAAACAGGCCCAGATTAGGAAAGGAAAGATGGTGTTTGGAGAGTAAAGAGAAAATCCTTTCCAAGAGAATGGTCAAGACAGTCCCACATGGCCTCTAACTTGGACCTCTCAGAGGAGGGGAAGAACAGGCAACAGCCTTGTTGTTCTCCAGCCTCCAGGTGATGGGCTGAGCTGGACTGGCACTGTGGTCTCTGTTACTCAAGGGCTCCATGATTCTATGATGTCACTGAAGAGAGAAGAATGGGGAACTGGACTCAGCTCCAGCTGCTCTGATTCCACTCTCCTCTGGATCCTGATAGTTTTTGGGGTGAGGGGAGGTGAGCTGCATGATCACACATGTCCTAGCTCAGTCACCCCTCTGGCCACCTCAGCCCCCACCACATTTACGGAGAGAAATTAGCCAGTGTGAGTGAACTCCGCAACAAGCAGAGCATCTTTTATGAAGCTAAACTGACCAAAAGAACAACAATGAAAACAGCCTTTTATTCCTCTGTTTCTAGAAACTTAAAGAACAAGAGAACTACATTCAAATTGAGCTGTAAAAGAGTATTTGGACAATCTGTGATTGTGAGAGTGGATGAATCTTCTAGCTAAACCTATGAGCTTTGAAACCACAGCAATCACTTTCTTCATCATCCTTCTAATTTGCTTCATTTGCATCCTCCTTTTATTGGTGGTCTTTTTATATAAATGGTATAAATCCATGCTGATAATTGGGATCAGATTTCAAGTCACATTAGCAAATGTATCTAGAAATAATGTAAAACAATTTAAAATAGAACAAGTAATAATACCATGGCTATCTACTTTTTTCATTTCAGCATTTTAGAAATGCTGATTTTCTGTTTAAAAGTGAAGTTTCTATGCCACACCTTAAAGTCAGGGCCATTCTTCTTTTTCTGAATTTGTGGCTTTTTTTTTTTTTTTTTTTTTTTTTTTTTTCCAGTTTCCAAGGTAGGAAAGATACAGACACAAAGAAAGCACCTTGTACAGATGCAAACGGAGGTGTAGACTGTGCAGCTGCCAAAGTGGTGACAAGCAATCCAGAGGACCATGAAAGGTGAGTGTGGCACAGGATATAGCAGAGGCTGTTTTCTGTGTGTTAGTGAGGACGAGGATGCATAATGTTTAAAACTCTATGGACTGATTTTCTAGGGTCTTAATGCAAGTTGTGAACTTGAATGTGCCAATGAGGCCTGGCATTCTTGTCCAAAGACAGAGTAAGGAAGTGTTGGCCACATCCTTAGAAAACAGAAGAGATATGGAGGCAGAAGAGGAGAACCAAATAAATGAGAAGCAAGAGACTGAGAATGCTGGAGAAACTGGTCAAGAAGAGGTGATATGTTTTTCTACTCTCAAGGGGCAGATTTAGAATTTGTCTGATTGAAAAGAAGGTAAATTCCTTAGCTAGTTATACCTAATAGGAGATGGAGTTGCCTGTAACTTAGGTTTGTAGGTAGAATGACTCCGATGCCCACAGTCATTTAAGCCATTCTGGTTGCTTATCAGTTCTTGTTACTAAACCATTACATATGCCAAGTCTAGAAACTTGTTCAGTCTTCATTCTTACATTTGTCTTTTTCTTAATAATTCCTCTTCAGTTTGTTTTTCTCAAAATTCTAGAATCTTAGAGCTGTTAAGAGATCATCTAGGGATCCATCGCTCTCCTGTTTCCAGTGAAAAAACAAAATGAATTGTTTACCTCTCCAGTGTGGTCAAGCTCAGGCCCAGATTGCAGCTCCCTGTGCTAGTTACAAGGTCCTACAACAGCACACAACATGGCTGGAGCCTTCCTGAGTTTTATGTCTGGGACTCCCTAACATGAACAACTCACATGCCCTCCTACCCCATGGCCAAGCCCAGTCCACGACAGAATGATGGTTCAGGTGGCTCTTGGGTTTGACCACTTTGTGGAGAGAATTACATGTCACCAAATGTTATTTGAATATGTCAGTGTATGCTTTTATAGCCATAAAAATGTGAAAATGTAATCATGATGGATTATTGCTGCTTTCCTATATCATTTGGAAATGCTTTTTCTGTTTTTTGTTAACAGTGTATGTATAATTTTAAAAGCAACGGATGTCATAAATTGATTATTTGTTTATATTGTTTGTCCTTATTCTCTTGCAGGATGATGGTTTGCAGAAAACACACACAGCTGTCACTAGAACTCCTTCAGTTGTTGAAAGCCAAAAAAGACCTTTAAAAGGAGTGACATTTTCTAGGGAGGTAATTGTTGTGGATCTTGGGAATAAACACCCTATACCTCAAAGCTATACTCGAGAACATAAAGAGAGAAAATGAAGCTCCAAAAAGGGTAAGAGTGAAAGAAAATGTAACCTTTAACTAACATTGAAATGACTAAGAGTACAAAAAATCATGTTGAAACAGCAAAACAATGGAGAATTAAGCAAATAAATATAGTATATTACCTTTTTGCAGAAAGGAGTGGGTCACAGGCAAAATTCTGTAAGTAAAATACTCAGAGCTTGAATATAGTTTTTTAAAATTCAAATCTGGGTTCAAGGAATTGATTATATTGCACTTAAAACTGTCTACTTGGCTAGGCGCAGTGGTTCACGCCTGTAATCCCAGCACTTTGGGAGGCCGAGACGGGCAGATCACAAGGTCAAGAGATCAAGATCATCCTGGCTAACACGGTGAAACTTCATCTCTACTAAAAATACAAAAAATTAGCCAGGCGTGGTGGTGCACGCCTATAGTCCCAGCTATTTGGGAGCCTGAGGCAGAAGAATCGCTTGAACCTGGGAGGCAGAGGTTGCAATAAGATGAGATCGTGGCCGGGCACGGTGGCTCAAGCCTGTAATCCCAGCACTTTGGGAGGCCGAGGCGGGTGGATCACAAGGTCAAGAGATCGAGACCATCCTGGTCAACATGGTGAAACCCCGTCTCTACTAAAAATACAAAAAAGTAGCTGGGCATGGTGGCATATGCCTGTAATCCAAGCTACTCAGGAGGCTGAGGCAGGAGAATTGCCTGAACCCAGGAGGCGGAGGTTGCGGTGAGCCGAGATCGCGCCATTGCACTCCAGCCTGGGTAACAAGAGCGAAACTCTGTCTCAAAAAAAAAAAGATGAGATCGTGCAACTGCACTCCAGCTTCCACAATAGAGCAAGACTCAGTCTCAAAAACAAACAAACAAACAAACAAAAAAAAAAACGCACAAACAACTGTCTACTCAAACACTGTTCTAGCATGTGAATAAAGTGGTTTGTGTTTGTACAGATGCCTATTAGGTACATCATATTCAAGGGGGATTTTTAAAAGTAATGCATGTTCTGATTATAAGCATTCATGACCAAATAACATTGCAGCTGTCATCATGGAAGCTTCCATAACTGTGGTCTTCTACTATATAATCCCCATTGAACTGAGTCCTGAAACTTTTCTTATACTGACAACTGCTTTTTAAAAATTGGTACAGACTGGTCACAGTGACTCATGCCTGTAATCCCAGCACTTTGGGAGGCCAAAGCAGGTGGATCCCCTGAGGTCAGGAGTTCGAGACCAGCCTGGCCAACATGGTCAAACCCCATGTCTACTAACAATATAAAAATTAGCCAGCCATGGTGGCATGCCTCTGTAATCCCAACTACTTGGGAGGCTGAGGCAGGAGAATCACTTGAACCTGGGAGGCAGAGGTTGCGGTGAGCTGAGATTGCGCCAATGCACTTCAGCCTGGGTGACAGAGTGAGAATCCATCTCAGAAAAAAACAAAAGCAACAAACAAACAAAAACACAAACTGCTAGCAACAACAAAACATCCTATTACTTTAGGCAAATCCTAAGATTATACTATCCTTGATTTCATTGGTTTAAAATTTTCTGTGCATGTGTGGAATATGACAGTACAGACTGGTAGGACACCATCCACACAGCTGCAGGACACATTTGTGAAATGTGTAAGGGGCTCTGAGAGAGAAAAAGCAGGAAATGTAGCATTTGATTCAGGGGCCTAGTCCATTTTCATGTGGATTTTCCATAAATGTTTGTGGAATGATTGGGAATATAAGTGACAAAATATTTTAGTATGTGGAACTATTACCAAATGGGGTGTATTAACACCCTCTGCTGAGGGGCATGTCAGTGTGGGCTGGGACCATCCCACTGTGAGGAGGAAAAGAGACTTAGACAAGTGGAAGGATTAGATAGACAAGACAAGCAGCCGGGAAAGAACATGAGTCAAGGCAAGAAGGTGAGGACGTGTATTGGGTTTGGTTGTCGCCAGTTGCCTGGCGCTGAAGTTGGATGTAGAGGAGAGTTGAGGGGCAACAGTGAAGCGTGGTGAGAAGTCAAAGTGAAGTTCACTGAGGACCCTAGGTTAAGGGTATAGGGTGGGAAATGGATCCAAACTCTGTGGACTGTGGGGAGGGTGCCCGTAGAAATATTCAGTCTCTACAAGCATTAAATTTTTTATCTTTCACCTGATAATACTAAATTAAAAAGAGTTTTCATTTCAGTAAAATATATATAACATAAAACTTGCCAACCTAACCATTTATTTTATTTTATTTTTTGAGACAGGGTCTCACTCTGTTGCCCAGGCTGGAGTGTAGTGGCACAATCAAGGCTCATTGTAGCCATGACCTCCAGGGCTTAAGCAGTCCTCCCAACTCAGCCACCAGAGGAGGTGGGACTACAGGCACATGCCACCAGGCCCAGCTAACTTTTGTATTTTTTGCTGAGACAGGATTTCAGCATGTTGCTCAGGCTGGTCTCAAACTCCTGAGCTCAAGCAATCCATCCACCTTGGCCTCCCAAAGTGCTGGGATTATAGGTATAAGCTATCACGGCTGGCTTCATCTTAGCCATTTTTAAGCGTACAGTTCAATAATGTTTTAAGTACATTCACATTGTGGTGCAAGTGTCACCACAGTTTTATAGAAGTTCCAATAGAGGAAAATGATGGGAAAATTGGCCATCAATACCTATAACCATATAGGCACATGGAATCCGAGAAAGCCATCCAGATCACGACTATAATGTGAACAGCAGCACAGTCAACAGAAGAGCAACTGGCATTTGAATTTTATTGGTTCTAAATGTCCATTTGAATTTTATTGGTTCTATGCTTTTGTTTGTATTTGATTTTTAAATTTCTTTTAGTTTTAAAGTTGGATGAAAGCTCTTAGGTTAGGGAGTTCATATCCAAATATATACATTTTTGAGACGGAGTCTTACTCTGTCACCCAGGCTGGAGTGCAGTGGCACAATCTCGGCTCACGGCAACCTCCACCTCCTGGGTTCAAGCAATTCTTCTGTCTCAGCCTCCCGAGTAACTGGGACTACAGGCATGCGCCACCATGTAGTAGAAATGGGGTTTTACCATATTGGACAGGCTGGTCTCAAACTCCTGACCTCGTGATCTGTTGGCCTTGGCCTCCCAAAGTGCTAGGATTACAAGTGTGAGCCACTGCGCCCAGCCAGGTTTCTACATTTTTTTTTTTTTTTTTTTGAGATGGAGTTTCACTCTTGTTGCCCAGGCTGGAGTACAATGGCGCGATCTCGGCTCACGCAACCTCCGCCTCCTGGGTTCAGGCAATTCTCCTGCCTCAGCCTCCTGAGTAGCTGGGATTACAGGCACGTGCCACCATGCCCAGCTAATGTTTTGTATTTTTAGTAGAGACAGGGTTTCACCATGTTGACCAGGATGGTCTTGATCTCTTGACCTTGTGATCCACCCGCTTCGGCCTCCCAAAGTGCTGGGATTACAGGCTTGAGCCACCGCGCCCGGCCTCTACATATTTTTAAGTTGCACTATAATAAATAATCTTAGGCAATAATGGAAGAAGTCCATGAGAGCGTTCCACCAGGATTAAGTTACTGAGGATTAGCAGCTAGGAGGTGGTAAATGGAGATGGCTACAATGTCAGTTCAGGTTTGAAGGATGTGGACCTGGACTAGGAGTTGGCAGAATGTAATGAGAAGATGAAGAAAGAGTAAGGCACATCACTTACTCCTCCCAGATGTGGGAGGAGTGAGAGGAAGTTGCAAAGATGGCTCCTGAGTTTGGATACCTGCGAGACCCTCAGAAATAGGAAGGTCCAGAGAAGTGACTAGAGCAAAAAGATTAGGCAAGTTTTAGCTCTGTTGAATTTGAAGTATTGGCTAGAGATGCAATTGAAGATGCTCTGTGGACAGTGAAGCTGTAGGGCTCCATGTTTCTGTCTCCTAAGCTATGGCTGTAGAGAAAAATTGAGCAATTTTTTCTCAATGCCTGTTGGTGTTTCTCTTGCAAAGGTGGAATTAAAGTTGCCACTTTACCCTTTAATTAGCTGTTGGTCCAGCGACTTTCTTCAAATGACTACTCCAGACAGGATATATCACCCAAAAGCCAAAAGGGCAAAGCTTGATAAAGCTTGGATTACTTAAAAAATTTTTTTTGCTTAGTAAAAAAAACAGCATAAAGTCAAAACCTCAACAACAAACTGGGAAAGCCTGTTTTTAAAACACTTTTATACTGAAATAATTTCAAATTTATGGAAGAGTTCCAAGAGTAGTACAAAGAACTTCACTCAGATTCCTCAGTTAACAGTTTACCACAATGGTATAATCATTTTATCTCTCCATATATACATATTTACATTTTTACAGCGTTTGAGCGTAAGATGCAAACATTATGTATCATTCGTCCTTGGTACTTCAGCACATATTTCTGAAAATCTGTGACATCCTCCCAGATAACTGCAGGTCAACCATCAATTAAGATCAATTCACTATTACCATCTATCTTATCCACAGTCCCCATTCAAAATTTGCCAGTGTTCCAATTTAATATATATATTAAATATATATGTATGGAAGAACATGTATATAGATACACCCCTTCCATCATGTTCTGGTGGTGAGAAGCAAGTCACTAAGTCCAGCCCATGTTCAAGGGCAAGATTTCCTTTAGAAGGGGAAAGTTTCCAAAAAGCAGTGGACCACAATATCCATTTCTGTAGCTGTCTATCCTTATAAAAGACCATGAGCTCACACCAGCACTTCCAATTCCAATCCAATAGGGCTTATTCTAGCTTTACCCACTCCATATTTGTAACCCCCTTCGCTAATAATGAGAAATTTGGCTTCCCTTATGCTCAGCTTACTTACTTATTGCTCAATCCTCTGTTTTTCTACCAAACACAGGGTCAAGTATCCTTAGCTCCAGCATTATTGACTTTGGTGATTCTTATGCTGGGAAACCGTTTTTTTGTTTGTTTTTTTTTTTTTAAATTTATGACCAAAGGTTGATTTCCTTATAAAGAAATGATTGCCGGGTGCGGTGGCTTACACCTGTAATCCCAACACTTTGGGAGGCCGAGGCAGGTGGATCACGAGGTCAAGAGATCGAGACCATCCTGGTCAACATGGTGAAACCCCATCTCTACTAAAAATACAAAAAATTAGCTGGGCATGGTGGCACGTGCCTGTAATCCCAGCTACTCAGGAGGCTGAGGCAGGAGAATTGCCTGAACCCAGGAGGCAGAGGTTGCGGTGAGCCAAGATCGAGCCATTGCACTCCAGCCTGGGTAACGAGCGAAACTCCGTCTCAAAAAAAAAAAAAAAAGAAATGATTAAGAACATTCAGATACATAAGAAATTATTTCACCCACAGGAATAAGAAAATATGAATCACCTAGTTTTAATTTGGCAAAAATACATATAGACAGAAAGATAAATGGCCAAAAAAATTTATTTTTATGATGCTCACCTGACTTCATAAAAATAAATTGAAACAATAAGATGATTTTTTTAATCAAACTGTCAAATATTAGAAAGATGGCTAATACTGGTGAAGGGTTAAAGAGGAGGAGGAAAATAATTCTCATTAGAAAAAGTAATTGACCCTCGAACAACATGGGCTTGCACTGTGTGGGCCCTCTATGTGCAGATTTGTTTCAGTAAAAGTGACTCTGAGTGTGCACCTGCCTCTCCTCCCTCCCCTTCTACCTCCTCTACTTCTTCTGCCTCTGCCACCCCTGAAACAGCAAAACCAACCCCTCTTCTTCCTCCTCTTCAGCCTACTCAGCATGAAGACAATGAGGATGAAGACATTTATGGTGATCCACTTCCAGTTAATGAATAGTAAATATGTTTTCTCTTCCTTATGATTTTCTCTCTTTTTTTCTTTTTGAGATGGAGTCTATTGCCCAGGCTGGAGTACAGTGCCATGATCTTGGTTCACTGCAACCTCTGCCTCCCAGGGTCAAGTGATTCTCCCACCTTAGCCTCCCAAATAGCTGGGATTACAGGCACTCGCTATCATGCCTGGCTAATTTTTATATTTTTGTAGAGGCAGGATTTCACCATGTTGGCCAGGGTGGTCTTGAACTCCTGACCTCAAGTGATCCACCCTCTTTGGCCTCCCAAAGTGCTGGGATTACAGGTGTGAGCCACCATACTTGGCCCTCCTTATGATTTTCTTAGTAATACTTTCTTTTCTCTGGATTACTTTATTCTAAGAATATGGTAAATATGCATAACATACAAAATATGTGTTGATCAACTTTTCTAGATAAAGCTTCCAGCCAACAGTAGGCTAGTAGTAGTTAGGTTTTGGGGGAGCCAAAAGTTATATACAAATTTCTGACTATGTGGAGGAGTTCAGTGCCCCTTAAACCCCATGTTGTACAGGGGTCAACTGTGTAAGTTGGTAAATCTTCTGGAGGGTAACTGGGCAGTTAACTATTAAAATTGAAAGTATATGCACCTTTCTATCCAGCATGCCACTGGCTAGAATGTACCCTGTGATACACTTTCAATACTTTACTCATGTATAAACTTGCTTGTTTCCTCCAAGTGAGGTTCAGGGAAAGAGAAAGAGGAAGAAGGAAAGAGCGAGCAAGAGTAGAGAGGTAGGCAATACACCAGCAAGAAGATGGTGAGTCTTGACTGGGCACAGTGGCTCATGACTGTAATCCCAGCACTTTTGGAGGCTGAGGTGGGTGGATCACCTGAGGTCAGGAGTTCAACACCAGCCTGGCCAACATGGTGAAACTCCATCTCTACTAAAAATATAAAAATCAGCTGGGCATGGTGGCAGGCACCTGTAATCCCAGCTACTCGAGGCTGAGGCAAGAGAATCACTTGAACCTGGGAGGTGGAGGTTGCAGTGAGCCAAGACTGCACCACTGCACTCCAGCCTGGGCAACAGAGCAAGACTATGTCTCAATTAAAAAAAAAAAAAAAAAAAAAGGCCAGTCTTTTGGTTACCTAACCCTGTAAGGAACATCCCATCACTTTTGCTCTATTCTGTCTATCGGAAGCAAGTTGCCAGGTCTGGCCCACACTCAAAGGGAGGGGATTACAGAAGAGCACAAACACCAAGAGGGAGGGATAGGTGAGGGTCATCTTAGAGGCTGCCTGCCACAGAGACTCAGGTTGGTACTGCCCCAGGTGATGAGGAAAGCAAACGTCAATTCTCTCGGGAAGTACTTGACTTCAGAAGAGGTGAAGAGCAGTTTTAAGACACTGCCAAGTGAAGGTTCTCACTGATTTGAGAGCTATTAAAATGTCTATGCCATGTGCAGTGGCTCACACCTAAAATCTCAGTGATTCAGGGGGCTGGGGCGGGAGGATCACTTGAGCCCAGGAGTAAGAGACTGAAGTGAGCTGTGATCACACCACTGCACTCCAACCTGAGTGACAGAGTGAGATCCTGACTCTTAAAAAAGTCTGTGATACAATTTACTGACAGAGGGGACTCTCTTGAGTGGTGAAGGAGACAACAAGGAAGTTTTGCAGAGGAAGAAACTAAAGAATTGGTGCTGTAGGCTTAGATGGAAAGGGCCCACCAGGCAAAGCATCCTGAAAGTGCAAAGGCACAGGTGTACTGGAGAGCCCAGGTAGACTGCTGTGTGGAGTGCAAGCAATGTTGTGACACAAAATGGGCTGGAAGGGCAGGCTGGGCCAGACCTCCAGTGAGCCATGCTAAGGGGGTGGGCATGGGGAGCCACTGACCAATGTTAAGCAGAAAAGCAGTTATATTAGAGAGATTGCATGAGGCTTCGTGGGGGCTGGACTGGAGGGGAAAGAGACTAGCAGGACAGAGACCATTAGGAAGACCTTGCAAGGATCCAAGCAAAGATCCATTTGTGCCCAGCTGGCTTCTTCTTAATTGTCTTCAGCTCAACAATCCTTCATATTTTGGTCTCCCACAGTTACTAGTAGTGGAATCTAATCCCAATGCAGACAGATGTAACGCTATTTCCATTTCACAAACAATGAAGTACATAGAGATTAAGGAACTTGCCTAAGGTCACTCATTTGGTAAGTGGCAGAGCCAAGACTAGAATCCAAACACTGGGCTTTAGAGCCTGCCAGTGTGGGCAGCCGGTGTAGGGCACCGCTGCTGGAGGAGACGCAACTCAGCACGTCTGCTTCACTGATAGTATAAAAAGACTTCACGCTGGCTTTTGCTCCCACCTCAAAATGTCCTCATTTTTGTCTTCTCACCCATTCTGCTTTGTGCCCATCCTACTTTTCACTCGTTCCTTTCCTAACTTGCACATCTTTGATGATGTGATCCTTCTTTGGTCTGGAAGGAACTCTTCCCATCTCTCTACCTGTTGAAATTCCATTCATCCATTAAGGCCCAGTTCTTTTATATCCCTCCCACAAATGACTTCATCCATTCTTAGGAATTGATGTAGTCAACAAATATTTATTGAGATCTGGTGTGTGCTGGGCACGAGGGATTCTGCAACGTGCAAAACAGATGAACTGTTAGTTGTAAGCTATTGTACTTATCTTTGGGTTTGCTACACCAGTGGCTTTCAAACTTAAAAAAATCGACAGTGTAATTACAATACATCACCACACACACACACACAGCCCCCAATGATTTAAGAAACAATATTTACCTTTACTATGTGTAACGACTCTGATCATTTAAACTCAGTTCTATTCTATTTCATTAAGATAAAAATGATGGTTGATGCCTCCTGTAAAATTTTACCTCCTCTAAAATTAATTTTATAGGTCACTCATAGCCTATTAATAGGCTGGAACACACTAGTTTGAGAAATACTCATTCCATTATTCACACAGTCATCTAAACAAAGATTTCCTTGGTGCCCACTGTGTTCTGGGCACAGCTCTGGCATCAGGATAAAGAGGAGAAAGAGTACTTGCCCTGAAGGCGAGCAGGCCAGTGAAGAAACAGAGCTTGAGAGCAAAGGCTACACAGTACTATGTGCTCTGGTGGCAGTGTGCTTGGGACATATGTGCATGCTGGTTGCTCAACAAATATTAAGGGAATGAAATCAAACTGAGGGATAGGCACCTAAATTATAAAAAGAAAATGGAATCGTGACTTCCTCAAAAGCAGACCCTTAGCAGCTCATGGGTCTACTGCGATGTGAAACCGACATCCAACTCCTGATTCTCTAGTGCATTGCTAATAAGTCAATCCTGGGTTGAGCACAGTGGCTAATGCCTGCAATCCCAGCACTCCGAAAGGCTGAGGCAGGCGGATCACCTGAGGTCAGGAGTTCAGACCCCCCCCCCCCCCAGCCTGGCCAATGTGGTGAAACCCTGTCTCTATTAAAAAGACAGTAATTAGCTGGTCGTGGTCATGCATGCCTGTAATCCCAGTTACTTGGGAGGCTGAGGAAGGAGAATTGCTTGAACCTGGGAGGTGAGACAGAGGTTGCAGTGAGCCAAGATAATGCCACCACACTCCAGCCTGAATGACAGAGTGAGACTCCATCTCAAAAAAAAGGTCCATCCTGGATACCTGGATATGTACATTTCAAACCCTTTCTCTCAAGACAGAGAAAGTGTAGTGGAGTTAGTTGTGTTTAGAAAAGATGAAAATAATCTGGGTTTACCCCAGCACCGGTAGGTTATGGGAGAAAGGACATACTTGAGAGGATTTTGCATTTCTTCCCCCAAAGCCTGTCAGTGTTGTCACCCTCACTTGCTGCAGGTAAGCTGCCCTGGGAAGTCATCCACTTGCCACCTCCCTTGCACCCTCTCCCAAATCAAACCAATCAAAACCAAGGTGGGTAGAGAAACATCCATTCTGATCCTTGTCCTTGGGTCTTCCTATTGCAGGCTCATCCTTTGGACTCATCTCTTCCCATGGCTTCTGGGACAAGGCTGCACCACCTGTCCCTCTTTTCACCAGCTGATTCCCACCAGCGGATGAAAACATTTAAAGGGAAAAGGCAAAATCTCCCTTCATCCACGTCCCTATTTCACTGCTGTCCAGTTGTCTTACCTGTCCTTGCATAACATTCCGAAAGCACAGTCTCCACCCTCTCATCTCCCATTCACCTGTCACCCATGACCCAGCTTCTGCCCCATCACTCACTGAAACTGCTCTCTGCAAACGACCCAAGGACCTTCTTTGTTGTTACATCCAATATATATCTCTATGTATCTTTATCATCCGATTCGTACTTTTCCACACTGATGCCAATGGCCACCGCCTCCACCGGGCACCCAGGCTCTGTGATGAAGTGCCTTTGTGGTTGCCTTCCTCCTCCTCAGTCGTTCTTTGCAGGCCCCCTCTTCCCTTGCCTACCTCTTACCTGCTGATTTTTTTTCCAGAGTTCTAGCCCCAGCCCCCTTCCGGCCTCTTTCCATTCTAGTCTCTGAGGGTGCAGTCGCTAACCAAGCCGCAAATTCCAGTGGCTGAAGAAAACGTTTTTCTCTGCTGCACCCCAGTGTCTGACACACTCAGATTCCACTTCTGAACACCGCTCACCCCTTCTCCACCCTGACAAGTCTTCCTCCTTCCAGTTTCTATCTCACCCGTTTCCAATGTTCAAAAGCCTGTAAGAATGATTTTCCTAGAACACGTCTGATCGTGTCATTTCTCCATTTAGGTCGCCTCAGTGGTTGCCCATTGCCTGTACCGCCAAGTCCAAGCTCCTTAGCAGGGGAAACCAGGCTGCTTATGATCAGGCAACCCCACCCTGATGCTCCTTCATGTGACTCTGTTACAGCTGCTTTAGCGAAGTGTGAAAGGTGAAATCAAAACGTCTTTTTATTTTGAGGTCAAAACGCCTTGAAGCAGTGTTTACATGACTGTTGTAGCTTTCTGGAAGATAGTGATGGAACGTGGTAGCTCCGGTAGGCGAGTGGAGACAATGCGCTCTACTCGTGAGTGTATTTCGTGGGTGACCGCAGGCAAGTCAGCACAGGGGAAGAGAACAGCCAGCTGCTTCCACCCTTTCACTGTCCTACTCATTTTTCTGCTAACTACCCATGTACACCCCTGTAACATTGTCCAAATAGTTCGTGCAAAGTTTTTGGTAGAAGCCAAACTTGGTTAAAAGGAATCATTAATACTCCATGATAAAGTGCATCAAGCTGCAGTAACACGTGCTTACAATCACATCATTTGGTCATCTCTAAAGGATTGTTACACGAATACAATGGAAATACTCCTGCAGTAACCTGGGACTAATTGGAAAGGTGCTGGGAGAGCTAGAGACCGCGTCACGGAGAAAACCGCAGCGCGGCAACTCAGACGAAACCCACAAACGGGGTGGCCGGGGTGCGTCGTGGCCCCAAAGGCCGGCCTCCCAGCGACCTGGGCGTTCAAGGCCGTGTCCTCGACGGTCACGTCGCGTCTGCACCGCCAGCTGGGCTCGCAGGCAACCCCTACTCAGCGCCCTCCTTCCCGCCGCCGGAAACCACGAGCCCGTCCCGCCCCGACGTTAGGAGATGTGCAGCGGAGCCGGGAGAGCCCTGCGCCCGCCGCCCCTCCGCGACCTCCTCCCCGCCCCGCGCGCCCCGCGTCCCCGCCTCTCCGCCTCTCAGACACCGGCCGGGGCTCCCGGGCTCGCCGCGGTAGGGCGGGGCGGGGCGGGGCGGGGGCGGGGCCTTCTGGCAGTTTCTGGGCGCTGCGAACGCGCCGCTGCCGGGCTCGGCGGCCGGAAACGCCGGCTTCAGAGTCGCAGGCGCCACGGCCTTTTCTTTTTCTCCGCTCACGCCGTGCCGCCCGCGGAGCCATGGCCAAGTGGGGCCAAGGGGACCCGCGCTGGATCGTGGAGGAGCGGGAGGATGGGACCAACGTGAACAACTGGCACTGGTGCGGCCGGCGGCCTCCTCCTTCTGGGGTCTCGGGAGGGCGGGGGCTGCGCTGGGGTCTCTGCGGGGCCGGGGGGCCCGGGGACCGCGCCGCTTCCCAGCTGCTGGACGCGGAGCTCGGCCTCCGCCTCTCGGCTCGGGAGCGTCCTTGAGTCCGGAGACCGGCGTGGGCAGCTGCGCTGGCCCTGGAGGCTCCAGCTGCCTCTTTGTGAAAGTTGGGTCGGCCGAGTGACTTCCGACAGACCTTTGCACTCTCGCCGTCTGTGGGCCTAGGGCCTTGCCTGCTCCCGCCCCACCCTCTGGATGTTTCCGGGAGTTAGAAGGGAGCTGGACTGAGCGTGTGTGTTGGGCGCAGGGGGTATGGAACGTAGTGGAAAGAGCAGACATTTGCATCTCAGTTCGCGTCTGCCCCGCAGGCGCCCCCGCGAGCTGGGCCCTCCCTCTGTGAGTGCGACGAGCTCTCCTTCCTTTGCGCGCCTCACCTGGTGCGTGGGGAGAATCTCCGGAAATGATGTCCTCTGCCCTGCGCCTCTGGCCGGGGCTGTGTCCCCTCCAGGCGGTTAAGGGGATGCTGAGGGGGTTCCGCAAAGGAGCGTGACTTGGCTGTTCCGGAGGAGCTCTGAGGGCTTGGGCCCTCGGCCCTGAAAGAGCTTTCTTTTTTCTTTTCTTCTTTTTTTAAACAGTCTCGCTCTGTCGCCCAGGCTGGAGTGCAATGGTGCGATCTCAGCTCACTGCAACCTCCGACTCCCGGATGCAAGCGATTTTCCTGCCTCAGCCTCCCGAGTAGCTTGGGTTACAGGCTCATGCCCATCACCCCCGGCTAATTTTTGTATTTTTAGTATACACGGGGTTTCGCCATGTTGATCAGGCTGCACTCGAACTCCTGACCTCGTGATCCGCCCGCCTCGGCTTCCCAAAGTGCTGAGATAACTGGCGTGAGCCACCGCGCGTAGCCAAGAGCTTTCTAGTGTCCTAGTCTCGGCTGCATGGACATGTCAGTCCTCTGAGCTCCTTTTCATCCCCTAAAATGAGAATATTACTTGGAAAGATTACATGAGCCAATGTATATGCGAAGACTTAATAGTTGTTATTGTCATGATTCTGATTATTTTGTTACTGCTACTTAGCATGTGGCAGAGGCTTTGCCTGTTTCCAGTAGGTGAGCTAGCTAGACCTTCTCCCCTGAATAAGCCAGTGTTGTTTTGTTGTTTTTTGTTTTTGTTGTTTTTTTTTTTTTTGAGACGGAGTTTCGTTGTTGTTACCTAGGCTGGAGTGCAATGGCGCGATCTTGGCTCACCGCAACCTCCGCCTCCTGGGTTCAGGCAATTCTCCTGCCTCAGCCTCCTGAGTAGCTGTGATTACAGGCACGTGCCACCATGCCCAGCTAATTTTTTGTATTTTTAGTAGAGACGGGGTTTCAACACGTTGACCAGGATGGTCTCGATCTGTTGACCTCGTGATCCACCCACCTCGGCCTCCCAAAGTGCTGGGATTACAAGTGTGAGCCACCGCACCTGGCCTAAGCCAGTGTTTTTAAGACTGAATACTACTTTGCATAGTGGACAATAATACCTAAAAGAACTGAGCAGGATGAAAATAATTTGGTAGAAAGCAGGTTTGAGGAGCACATCAGAGTGGCAGGTCTTGAGGCTGCTTGAGAGGACTTGGGCTGATCTGGGCTGGGCTTGGACATGACCCTGGGACCCAGGCTGGGCAGGTGGATCCCACCTGGGGCTTCCATTCACGACTGTGCCCTTCTGGTCCCTGGCAGGACAGAGCGGGATGCCACCAGCTGGTCCAAAGGGAAGCTCCAGGAGCTCCTGGTGGGCATCGTCGTGGAGAATGAGGCTGGGCGTGGTGAGATCAGTGAGCTGAAGCAGGTGGAAGGTGAGGCTTCCTGCAGCAGCCGCAAAGGAAAGCTGATTTTCTTCTATGAGTGGAACATCAAACTGGGCTGGAAAGGTAACAGGGGCTTCAGAGTACTAGTGGGGCTGGGGGCAAAGTGCATTCATCATTCATCGAATGTTTTTACAACTTCTGTGGGCCCGACACTGACTTGCCCCTGAATCAGCATTAGTAGATCCTGACACTGGCCACACTTTAGTTCCTTGGTCCAAGAAGGATGGGGGTTTCCTTTCTCCCAACCCTTGAAGTTGCTTAGAGCTCATTGCTGTCACCTGGACCCTCTTCTGCCAGGCACTTGTGAACATGAGTCTCTGGGCGTTGGGCACTCTTTCCCCAGGTAGCTGCCTGCCTCCTTCAGGTCTTTTGTCCTGAGTGAAGCCATTTCTCTTCGTCTTTGGAGACCCCTGCCTTGTACCATCTTTCTTCCTTACTTTATCTTTCCCCAAGGCACTGAAACTTGGTTCACAAAGGTTTTTGCTTACTGTCCTGCTCTATCTTCCTGTCATTGATTAGTGCAGGGATTTTTTTTTTTTTAACAGCTTTGTTGAGACATAATTCACCCATTTCATGTATATAATTCATTGGTTTTCAGTATAGTCACAGAGTTGTGCAATTAGCACAACAATCAATTTGGGAACATTTCACCATGCCAAAACAAAACCCCAGTCCCATGAGCAGTCACTCTTGTTGCCCTCCTCTTCCCTAACCCCTGACGTCTCCTCACCCACTTTCTCTGGATTGGCCTCTGGACATTTCATATAGATGGAATCATGCAGGATGTGGTCTTTGGTGTCTGCCTTCTTTTACTTCATAATGTGTTCAAGGGTCATCCAAGTCGTGGCAGGTGGCAGCACTTTTTTATAGCTGATTAATATTCCAGGGGTGCATATTCTGCATTATTTTTCTCCATTTAGCAGCTGCTGGGCATTTTGTATGTGTCCATTTTTGGGGTCTGTGGGTTCAGTTCTCCAGTGGTGCCTTGATCCTGGCTGGGCAGACAGCATGTGCACCCTCAGTCCTTGCTGAGGGAGCCAAGGCTGTGGAGATGCGGGGAAGGGAAGAGGAGGTGAGGCAGGATCTGGACGACTGTGCTGTTAGGGTTTGAGCCTCAGCCCAGGAGTCATCTCGTATCTGGAGTTTGTGTCCCAGAGCAGTCGAGTGAGCTGGCCTCAAGCCTCTGCCCTGCTAGCTGCCTTGCTAGAGGATGAGGGTGTTCCGCCCCTCCCCCCTGCCTCAGAACAAGATCCTCTGGCTGGAAGTTTGCCTCCCTTGCAACCCCGCATGTCTGCTGCTGACTGGATCACAGCAGTCTGGTTCCCTGCCCGCTCCACCAGCACCAGGCTCTAGGGCCTGAGGAACCTTGTGGGCTTTGTGTCTTTTCCATCTCCCTTGGCTCACAGTAATAGCTGACTCCTTTGCAAGATAAGATCCAGCCAGGCAGCAGCCAGAGCACAGGCTGTGAGGGCTTGCCGTAACCCCTCCAGCTGCTTTCCTTCAGCAGCGAGTCTCTGGGGTGGTAGCTGGGACCCACTAGGGAGGAGGTAACACTCTAGTCCTGGGAGAAATCCACCTGCATGGCATCTGCACACAATGTCCCCAAGCCAGAGCCTCCCTTCCCTCACTCTGTGTCAGAACACACTGTCCCTGTCTGTCCTCCCATCGCTTCTGTGACTGCTTCTCCCCTTCAGGGTACTCCTTTATCATGCTTTGCCCGGGCAAAAAAAATACCCTGTGACAAGAAGAGAAATACCCCTCAGGATGGTGGGCTGCTGACTCCTAATGCCCTCTCCTTGGTCATGGCCTGCCTGACCTTTCTTCTGTGGCTACTCCCCTCCGATGGGGACCCTGGAGTGATGGAACCCTGTGAGGGTAACTGGGCTCTTCAGTGAGGCAGGACAGTTTTCCATAAAACCAGTTTGACCTTCCAGCAATCCTCCCACCTCAGCCTCCCAAGTAACTGGGACTAGAGGTGTGCGCCACCAGGCCCAGAAAATTTTATTTTGTAGATGTGGTGTCTCCCTGTGTTGTCGAGGCTGGTTTTTAAACTCCTGGGCTCAATCCATCCTCCCATCTCAACCTCCCAAAGTGCTGAGATTACAGGCATGCACCACAGTGCCAGGCCCAGCTGTTGCTTTTTATTGTAATTGAAGAACCCGTTGCTCATTTTAGGTATTCTTAAAGAATCTGGTGTGAAGCACAAGGGTCTGATTGAAATACCCAATCTTTCTGAAGAAAACGAAGTAGACGACACTGAGGTACATGATCACGTTTCTATCTCTTTTGTTCTTTTTTTAGTCAAGCTTCTGCAGACATTGGGCATTTCAAATAGTGTTGATCAGACTGTGTAGTTCCTGTATGGTGATTTGGGTGCCTTGTGGAGGGCCTGTCTGCTGAGAGGGATTGCTGTACTGCGGGGGCAGCATGTTGTGTGGAGCCGGAATGTTGCAGGAAAGAGAGTATGCCCCAGGAAGCCCTGAGCTCCCCCGAAGACCAGACAAGGGGCCTGGGCAGCTGACTACACCCTCCTTGGCCTCCTCATCTGTGCAAATGGGTTAAATTTTCTTCCAGGGGTGTTGTCAGGTTAAATATGACAGTTGGTGCACTGTAGACTGCTCAGGCAGCTTGCATGGCTTGATGAATGCAACTTTCTCTTTTGCACCTTTGCTGTTTCCCTTTAACAGTGAAAAGTCTCAGCCTTCAGCTGCAGCGTCTCCGTTGGTTATGCCTCACAGGCTTCTGTAAAATACCCAGTTAGTATATGTTGCTTTTGTGGCTCTCCTAGTTCTCTTGGGAGACAGAGCCTCATGTAACTCCCATGCTTGGCTTCAAGTTAGTGCCGCCTTTTGGCTGAAAGCTGGGTTCTGGGGGTGAGACCATTTGTACAGCTGCTATATTTTTCAAACCAAGATAGTCTGACAAAGGATCTTTTTTGATTGGTGAACATAATTAACATGAAGGCTTTCAAAGATAGGCTGAATCCTGCACAGCAGCATGTCTTATGGCCTGAAGGTTATACAGTGCCGCAAGCTGGGGCTGTCCCAGACCTCTGTCTTCAGTTATGTGGTTCGTCCGCTCAGGGCCTGAGATTCCACTTTGGTGTATTCAGATCCATCAGCTAAGAAACTTTGAACAGAATGTTTAGCTGGTTTTTAAGGTTTAATCCCTCAGTAGCATTACAGAACAAACTCTTTAGATGGGCCCACCTCAACTGAAGCATTGGGACACTAAATTTTTTCAAATTGACATCTCTTTTTTTTTCTGGGAATACCAGAGACATCCCCAAAGCCCTCTGATGCTTCCTTCTCCCTGTCTTCCCCTTCTCCCCTCTCTTCTTCCTTCCCTGTGCCTGTCTTCTACTAGTCTCCCTTTCCCAATTTTCCTCTCTGTCAAAAAAGTATAGTCCAAGGCTGGGTTACATGATAACTTGAATTTTTTTCTAGTAGCCATACTTAAAAAGTTAAAGCTATAGCTGGGTATGGTGACTCACACTTGTGATCCCAGCACTTTGGGAGGCCAAGGTGCGAGGATCACTTGAGCCAAGGAGTTTGAGGCTGCAGTGAGCTATGCTTATGCTACTGAACCCCGGTCTAGACAACAAGGAGACCCTATCTCTTAAAAATTAAAGCCAGGCATAGTGGCATATGCCTGTAATCCCAGCTGCTTGGGAGGTTGAAGGGGAAGATTGAGCCCAGGAATTTGGGTCTAGCCTTGGCAACATAACAAGATGCAAGCTATATATTAAAAGAAAAAAAAAAGATAAACAGGTGAAATTTTAATATGTTTTATTTGAGTATATAAAAAAGATTTTAGCATGTAATTAATATAAAAATGATGAGGTATTTTACATTCTTTTTTGGTATTTAGTCTTTGTAGTCTGGCATGTATTTCACACAGCACATTCTTGATTCAGGCCAGTCACATTTCAGGTTCTCAGTCACATGTGACTAGTGGCTACCATACTGGACAGTGCATTTCTAGAACCCATGAAGGCCATGGACATCAGCAGTAGAATTTATATACATACACATGCACAATTTTGTGTGCAAATTAAGGGGTTTACATTCATTAAAGTCCATGCAAGATTTGGCCGCCAACCCTGTCATGGACCCTGGATTTAAAACCCTTAAAATTTTGCCTTATCACATCTCTTACATCCACTTCTTTCCTTCCTTCACCATCACAGTTCTCTCATCCATACAGCCCAATATTGTAAGAATACATCAAACCAGATCTTTTCTTCGGTTTGTATTTTTCTGATTTGTAGGTGAACGTGAGTAAAAAGAAAGGAGATGGGGATATACTGAAGGATCTTATGAAAACTGCAGGCACCGCCAAGGTCAGGGAGGCCCTTGGAGATTACCTGAAGGCACTTAAGACGGGTAAAGAAGGCATCCCTTGTGAACCAGAGGGTCCCTTTTCTATTTACCCAAGTTATACTCGGCACTGTGGTTGGAGGCTCCAGAAGCAACTTTATAGCTCAGAATAAATTGTAGTTTTGAAGTTGAGAGCTAGTCATGGTTAAGACCATAATTAGTGATCATCAGTATTGTACAAAGCAGGAACCATCTTACCTACAGAATTGTTCATTGTAGTTTTCTGGAATGAAAATCAATCAGTTGTTTGTGTAATTACTTGTTTAATGTCTGTCTTCCTTGGTAGATTATAAGCTCCATGAGGGCATGGAAGGTGTCTGTCTTGTTCACTGCTGTATCTCCAGCATCTAGCACAATGCCTGGCACATAGTAGGTGCTTAATAAATCTTTGTTGGATGAATGTATGAATGGATGGAAGTGACTGCAGGTATTACAGGTGTAGTTGAGCTAAACCTACATAATATCCACATTGCGTGGAAGTGAGGTTGTTGTCTTCTTCCCTAAATTAGAGAAGTTAGCCAGGCAAGATGGCCAGCAGTACCTGTATCTCTGTACCTCATTCTTGGATCCTATTGGGGTTGTCACTCTTCCCATCAGAGCACATGTGTAGCTGGCTCACAGGTTTGAATACTGTGAAGACAAGATTTTTGAGGTGGTGGTCACTCTCACATGAGAAATTGTCTGACAGGAGGTTAGAGCCACAAAGCTATTAGTAAGTTAATCATATAAAACTTAGCTGTTTGGAAAAGAACTTTGGAAAATTTTGCTGATTTAGCAAAAACTTGATAAAAGTAAGCCACTGGGGGGAAAAAAGGCATTTGTTGCTGTGGAACCCACGTTGTTAATCATCAGTAGTTTTATATGTAAAAACATGGAATTCTTGAAATTCTCAAAATGTTAATAGGAATTATTTTCATGAATATGTTATTTTCTTACATGCTGATTTGGGTTTTCTACCTTACTCTTTGTGCTTAAAAGGAGAAAGGTCATTATTAAAACCACTTCCCTTGTTTCTTTGTAGAATTTACAATGGGAATGATTTTACCAACGAAAGCTATGACAACCCAGGAATTGACTGGTAAAAGAAAACTGAGTGAGAATACCCTGCAGGTATGAGCTGTGGTGGCCAAAATATAGGGAAGGGGTAAAGGGATTGTTTTGAGTCGGGGCTCCAAATAGCCTTGTGTTGATAAACTGGGAAGGACAGTGAGGACCTTTATCCACCTTTGGGTCTCCTGTGAGTCCTCTACGATGTGCCATTTTGATATGGAAATGATAAAATGAGACTTTGATTCTTGATGGAAGAACTGTTACAGACACGCCTTTCTGTGGGATATTTGACTCAAGACTGTTCTAAAGGCAGTGTTCTTTGGTAGGCCGTGGATTACAAAACCAGGTGACTTTCGAGATTCATACAGCACAATAGAAGAACCTTCTTTGCTGACTTTTGGATTGGGAGATTTTAGATCAATGGGTGTTTTGTGTGTAATTGACACCCTTTAATCTTAGGTGCAGTTGTCGTGTGTCTGCTGAGGACTGTATCTGCAAGTGCAGCTAGGATTAGGGGTGTTTAGTCAGAACCTGGGAACGGAGCTGAAGAACTCTGGTTCCAAAGTAAAGACCAGGACTGGCAGTGCTAAAAAGGCTTTTCATGCTGCTTTTGTGTGTGTCTGGAATAGGCAGTACAGAATTTGGGACATTTGATATTTCATTGGAAAGACTTTTTCAATCCAAGCAGCTTTATCTCTTGGTATGCTAATCATTCCCTGGAACCTCTTTCCTTCTCCAGGTTCAGGCCTCATCTCCAGTGGCACCTGGTGTAAGGATTCCCACTGTGGCTCTTCACATGATGGAACTGTTTGACACAACTGCAGAGCAGCTGTATAGCATCTTCACTGTGAAGGACGTAAGTAACTCCCCAAGCTAGCATCTTAAATGCTGACATTGGGAGAAAATACACCACAAAAACACAGGAGCTGGTTTTTGGTCATTCTTGTGGCCGTGTTTTTGATTGAAGAGTATGGGACAGTGGTGACAGGAAGTCTGAGCATATTTTCTGAATAGTAGGAGGGAAAATGGGCATTTTTTGGAAATATGTCAGCATTACTTTGAGTTTTCTCTGGGAAGAGAAAGTTATTTTCTGTAAGTAAAAGCTACATGTTTAGGATTTTAAAACCGTAGTATGTTTCATACTTCATAATTAGATTAAAATATGTGGTAGTGTGGTCTGGAATAACCCATCTGTCTTATTTGGTTAGTTGGTGCAAAAGTTTTCTAAGTCTGCTGCTGTATTGGAAGCTGAAAAGGGAGGGAAATTCCAAATGTTTGATGGGAACATCACTGGTGAATATCTAGAATTGGTAAGTAGACTCAGAGTTAAAGAAGTAAGCTGGGATTAACTCTTACTTTAGTTAATATTATTCTCTTTGTACATGCTATTTTTAGCACTGAATCACTAGGTCTGTGTTGCCTCACCCTTAACAGCAGCCCCCTGTTCTGGTTACTGTTATTGTACTCATGACATTATTATATATTCCTACTGTCCTGCAGTTACTGTTGTTGAGACATTTTGGCAAAAAGAAGACAGTTGTTATCAATGGTGCTGATGTGTAAACTGGGGGATGGGACTATATGTTGTTTGATTCTTCTCATACTTAGGAGTTTCAATCAAAGGATTTAGTTTTTCTGTGTTGTGGGAAGTTTTAAAACATTTTTTTAGAGGAATTTCCCTTTCTTTTCAGTTAACCAATAAAAAGATCGTCATGAAATGGAGATGTAGGAACTGGCCAGAAGGTATGCTATTAATTAATTAGTGCTCTTTATGTATAAAGGTCCCAAAACACTAAGGCTAGATTTTTCACATGCATACATGTTCCTTGTTATAATGCAGTAATAGGTTCCTATTTTTCTTCTTAGAACACTATGCTACGGTTGCACTGAATTTTGTGCCTACTCTAGGGCAAACAGAATTACAATTGGACTGTAAAGGAGTTCCTGTCTGTAAAGAAGAGAACATGAAATTCTGTTGGCAGAAGCAGCATTTTGAAGAAATAAAAGGTTTACTGCAGCTGACCCCCCTAAATTGTTGAATTAAGATTTTATAAGGCATTACTTTTTGTAAGCAGAAAAAGTGTCACATTTACCTCTCCCTATTTTTTTTTAAAGGATCCTTAATTTATTTTATATTGGATGAAATCTATGAACATATATACAATTTAAAGCATTGTTTGACTCTTTATTATAATAACTAGACACTGCATTGAGGAGTTAAAAGTAGCAACCTGGAATTAGGTATTAACCTGGCATTCCATAGATGTTCCTCTGAAAATAGATCAAGTCCCCGAGTGCATCAAGTCCCCGAGTGCAGATAGTTGATGTTTCCCAAGCTGAAGCCTGTCCTACAGCAAGCTTGCTTGCAGCTGTACTGTTAGTTCAAGATGAGAAAAAATAAATGGCACGTTGATACTATTCCTTTATTTTACTTTAGAGTTTTTAAGGGTGTAGATCTTAGGTAGTAAAACAGTGGCATGTTGCATTCAAAAGCATGTTGAGATGAGGACGAGCTGGCTGTATTGTGCTCCACTTCTCGCTGCCGAGGTTTTGCACTGTGTGGTGGAGAGGATTGAGAAGTCTGGGGACACGTTAATTTTGTGGGCTGCTGGTAACACAGTGAAATAGCATATAATGGGTAAGTGTTTCATCTCATTCACCATTTTTCTCACTACTTTCACCTCAGAAGACGGAAGCAACGTATGTAAACAAATGAAAAGTCATCACAATCAGTTTAATTAAGTGCACAGAATAGCAATCAGTCATGTCAATAAAAATAAAACAATTATTTTTACATCAAGTGTGCTTTATTTCCTCCACAGGTATTCTGTTAAATAAAGCACCATTTATATACTGCCAGGCCACAGCTAAAGAGGATTCTTTACAGAATCAAATTTCTTGTGGTTGTTCCGTATACAAGTAAACTTAATTTTGATAATAAGAACCACAGCGATCGGAGGCAATCTGCCTCTATAAGGTACAAAACTGGCACAGAGGACACCATATTATACACAGTAAAAATGCTGTAAGTTTTAAATTACATTGTACAGGGCTAGGGAACCCTGTTCTTCCCAGACAGCCATATTAAATGAAAGCCACTACAGTGAACTCTTAATTACATAAAACATATCCATTATCTGATTGCCCTTTAGGAAGTATACTGAAGATGCAAGTTTTTTCATCGGGAGTTCTGCCTGACCAGGAATTAAGCCTATAAATCTATCTTGCCATTCAAGCAGAGAGCACTGGACAAACTGAAGCACAAAAACAAATAAGCAAAACTTATACAAACAGCATGGGGGTAGGGGTGAGGGACTTAAAAGTAGACATGCTACACCTAATGTCAAGAAGCAGCTTGGTTTCCTTTGCCAGATATCCTTGTGACCACATGGATTGTAGATTCAATGGTCCTACACAGGGTATCTAAAATGTCGTGTTGCTGCATATGACTAAAGAGTCCTCTGGAATGGCCACAACTGAGAGATAAAGCAACCTCGGGGTCCTGGGAGGGCAAAGCTTGGCCATCACAGCTTCTCAAGTCAGCTAAGTCAGACAGAACTGCAGAGATAGAAGTAGAAGGGAACTCAGATTCTTCCTCAGCAAGGGTAGAATCCTTGGAAAAGTGGAGGTCTTTAAATTCTTTACAATCTTCAAATCTACCATTGCTGGACTGTTCTTCTGTGTGCTGTGACCTGATATTTGACATGTCTTCTGAAAACGAAGATGGAACTTCCATTCGGTATTCTTTAACAGAACTATTTTCAGGGGAAGGAAGATCTTGCTCAGTTCCTGGATCAATAATTGAGGAGTCCCTGGTCTCATTGTCAGAAGTGCTCGTTGGGGTCAGGACCTCCCTGGTTTCTGTTTTTGTGTCGCTGATGCAGCTGTCTACAGTGTGCTCCTCATCACTGCTAACACGCCTTCTTTTAACGGGAGTTGCCCCTTCATCATCTGTGAAAACACACACCAAAACAGAAACCTCTCAAAGTCATTAAGATCACATTTCGGGGTGGGAGGGTGTGGGAAGTTAATTTTGTTTCTAGCATATTTAGGAGGTTCAGCTGAACATAAAGATTATTATTTTTTTTTTTTTTGAGACGGAGTTTCGCTCTTGTTACCCAGGCTGGAGTGCAATGGTACGATCTCAGCTCACCGCAACCTCCGCCTCCTGGGCTCAGGCAATTCTCCTGCCTCAGCCTCCTGAGTAGCTGGGATTACAGGCACGTGCTACCATGCCCAGCTAATTTTTTGTATTTTTAGTAGAGACGGGGTTTCACCATGTTGACCGGGATGGTCTCGATCTCTTGACCTTGTGATCCGCCCGCCTCGGCCTCCCAAAGTGCTGGGATTACAGGCTTGAGCCACCGCGCCCGGCCTGAACATAAGATTTTTTTTGCCCCCTTTGGAGATGGAGTCTTGCTCTGTCAGCAGGAGGCTGAAGTGCAATGGCACAATCTCAGCTCACTGTAACCTCTACCTCCCAGGTTCAAGTGATTCTCCTGCCTCAGCCTCCTGAGTAGGATTAGAGGCCCATGCCACCACGCCCAGCTAATTTTTGTATTTTTGGTAGAAATAGGGTCTTGAACTCCTGACCTTGTGATCCACCCACCTCGGCCTCTCAAAGTGTTGGGATTACCAGTGTGAGCCACCATGCCCAGCCTGACATATGGAACTATTAAAAGACTAGTTATACCAAGTGTATTACTGCCTCCTCCCACCCGAAAGGTAATGACAGTAGTCCGTAAAGCTAACCTTTAGTTTTTCTTTCTTTGGCTTCTTGCTCTTGGAGTGAGTTTCTCTGTTGCAGACAAGTCCTGCATTTGCTTAAAAGCTCTTGCAGAGTTGGAATTAGAGCTGGGTTTAACTGTTTGGGAGTGTGTACCGACAGAAGCAAAGCAAGTGCCCTTAGGTCCTGCAAAATCCAGATGGGAACACATCAAATTCTAAAGCCAACACTTTGATGCAGTTGTTTACAGTTAAATGCAGATGTTTACTTTACCAGGAATCCATTCTTTCCTAAGAACACCCTGGTTTTTCTGGCATTCTTAGACTAGTGATAAAACCAGAAAGCCAGTGTTAGGATACTACAGCATTTCATTAGTTTTTTTTTTTTTTTTTTTTTTTGAGACTGAGTCTTGCTCTGTCGCCAGGCTGGCGGGCATGGCACGATCTTGGCCTGCTGCAACCTCTGCCTCCCGGATACAAGTGATTCCCCTGCTTCAGCCTCCCGGGTAACTGGGACTTCAGGCGCGTGCCACCACACCCAGCTAATTTTTTTGTATTTTCGTAAAGACAGGGTTTCAGCATGTTGGCCAGGATAGTCTTGATCTCCCGACCTCATGAGCCACTGCGCCTGGCCTCATTAGCTCTTTTTTTTTTTTGAGACGGAGTTTCGCTCTTGTTACCCAGGCTGGAATGCAATGGCGTGATCTCGGCTCACCGCAACCTCCGCCTCCTGGGTTCAGGCAATTCTCCTGCCTCAGCCTCCTGAGTAGCTGTGATTACAGGCACGTGCCACCATGCCCAGCTAATTTTTTGTATTTTTAGTAGAGACGGGGTTTCAACACGTTGACCAGGATGGTCTCGATCTCTTGACCTCGTGATCCACCCACCTCGGCCTCCCAAAGTGCTGGGATTACAGGCTTGAGCCACCACGCCTGGCCGCCTCATTAGTTCTTAAAGTCACTAATAGCATTATTTTATGCCCACAAACAAGTCAGACCCAAGACTGAAATAGTGTCTTCTGAAAATGGAAAAGGAAATACATATATATCTATATATGTATCTCTCTCTCTATATATATATCAGTAATAGAGCTCAGGTAGACTTTATATAAAGAATTTTTAAAACAAACGAACAATCCATGAAAAATTTAGGTCTTACTAATAGACAAATCAGTTTCTCAAGCTAAAATCTGATCGCTGTCACAAATAGTATGGTCTTCCTTACAGAGCTTTGTCATCTGTTAAGTAAATTGTGATTTGGGAGGCTGCTGCTCAACAGCATTGTAGCCCGCTTCCAGGGTGTTCCATTATTCCAGGATATGGCTGTCATGGGCTGACAAGGCAACTAACGCTCTAGATTTAACTGCCTGTGCCCCGCATCCCCAGACCTTTTTTTTTTGAAACTGCCTTTTTAAATCCATAGATAATTATTGTTTCAGTTACTTAGGAGCCATAGGCAATTATAGAAACATCACAAGTAATGTTTCCAAAAATATACCCAAGTAGAGATAAGGCCGCTAAGATGTTCCCTTTATTGCCCTTAGCATTTAATGACATCAGCTTGTAGCTTCCAAGGTGATAAAAGGGTGTGTGCTATATACATACAAGACATAGTAAACACGTATTTAAATTTTTTTTGTCATACATGGCTTAGAGTTCAAATCGGTTACAGTTATGAGAGTAAAATCATATGAAGGCCAAACAGTTGACTGAAGGACAGTTTAGAACGAGTGTGCCTCCTCTGCATAGTTCTTACCCCATTTAAAGAAGCACTTGCTTTGGAAATTTCAACTCGGTTGGAGAAATCAGACTGTAGGTTCTGATACTGATTTATCAAGTTTGTAATAAGAGTGCTGATCAAATTGGCACAGTTTGCTTCAGAAAACACTTGACTTTGAACCTGAAAAAGATGATTTAAAAAGATCTCCAAAAAGACCAGCATAACGAAAACAAGCATTAACTGGAAATGACGAATTGAGTTTCCAAAGTACTACATACCTTTAGAAGGAAATGTGTCATGAAGGTGTAGACAATGTTGTTGTTTAAAAAAGTTCTTTCATCCATTAGGATACACTTAATATATTCTGCGAAAACAGGATCTTCACACAAAAGCTTGATGCAATTTTTTGACATAGCAGACTAAAGTGGGGAGAAGAAGCACTGATGGTTGAGCACTGAAGTAACTGGGGCTTCAACACTTGTGTGTCATGGAAATCTGAAGCCATTTAAAATCCTACTTGAAAACCCATGTCTAACTCAGCCTATTGAATTTTTAGTTAACAGCAACTGTTTTTAATACAGTAAAATGTTACTAATTTGGACTATAGGAGTGAGTGCTGGGGGAAGACACTGATGCCAAAACTGAACAAATGTTTTAGAAGAAATGCGGGTTTATTACCCAACACAGAGAATTAACAAGGACTAGAGAAATAAGGCTAATGAAGAGTAGGATGCGAATGTTTTCAAGGGTCAAATTTGGGTATAATTTGTAGGTAACCAGACCATAATGTTGTGAAAAGACACACTTTAAGAATCAAAATCAGTTTATTCTCTAAAATGTTTTAAACTTTACTGTAAAATCTCATTAGCAACAGTAATTTGGTAAATATCTTTCCCTCCATGAACACTGTAAAGGTAAACAATAAACCTCCTTTCCTAATTATCTCACACAGAAACAGTGGTCCCAATATATGGAAATTTTACTAAAATTTGATTTTCCTGTTTTCAAATAGTCATGGCTCTTAAACACAAGTAGTATGTCTTTAAGCAGATATACTCCCTAGATTTAAATGTGTATTTTAATCATAGATCATTTATTTATATGGAAAAATATATTTTTAAAATAGGACAAAATTTAGAATATATGTATATATGTATATGCGTTTATTTTATTAGAGTAAGCTGTCATAAATAAATTACTCAAGGTCACTCAAGAAACTAGGATTCAAGTAGGACCAAGACCCAAGTCTTCAAATCCTTAGCACTAAGAAAAATCTCCCTTAGCCGACCAGTCACAGCCTCTGCCTATGTTTCTTGCTCAGGATGGCTGCTTCTACAGGACTGGAAGCTT